GCCCCTCGGTCCAGGACAGAGGTGGCTCCTCTTGGGGTTCTGACGTCGTTGGTGCCAACACTCTTCCCAGGAGCACTGGCTCCGGAGCTCAGGATCTGCAGCTCTGGGGTCAGAGTGGAGAGAAACAGGGTCAGTGTTACCCTGGGGGCTTCTCTGCCTTCCATCTCACCTTACAATGCCCAGGGGAAATCACACCAACTCTGGGAACAACTGGCAACAAGGGGACATGAGGAAGGTCAGCCCTATCAAGCACATGCCCCCAAGCCAGAATAGACATGCCAACACCATTTTCTCACATCCCCATCGGTTTGAAGTGAAAACGATTTGTAGAGACATTGGCAACTGACTTATCCCAGGAAGGCCCAACTGCTACTGGGCCAAGATCTCTTGACCCTGGGCGAGAGGGGGAAGTCCGAGTCCCTGTCTGCACAAGGCCCAGTGTTTCCCCACCGACATCAAGCTCTTGCCACTGCCAGAAAATGGCTCATCTTCAGGATTTATCTGAGAGAGGCCAGAGAATCACCTGCACTTGAGCGTCCCAGCTCAAATCCTGAGGCCTGCCACCACCTATGCAACTGTGCAACAGCCCCAAACTTCACAGGGCTGCCAGCCCAGGAGAAACGCCGGAATTAGATGGGAACATTGAATGGAAGCCCACTGGGATCATGAGTGAAACACTACCACAGAAGGCCCAAGCTCACCTAACAGCTCAGGAAATACACAGGCTGGGATTATAGAAACACCATTAGGAGAAAGATGCTGTAACAAACAGTGTAGCACTGTAGCACTGTGCCCCAGTTGTTCATCGATTTGCTTGAGCAGGCACCAGTAATGTGCCACAACAAATTGTGAGACTTGTTGTTACTGTTTCTGGCATATCCAATACACCATGAGGAGCTTGTCATGCTTTGTCGTATGGGTGAGATACTCTCGGTAGCTTGCCGGGCTCTCCAAGAGGGGCAGAGGAATCGAACCCGGGTCGGCCTCGTGCAAGGGAAATGCCCTACCCACTGTGCTATCGCTCCAGCTCAAGTAAATAAATGAGTAAAAATAAAATGGGGATGACAAGGGAACCTTCCAGGCTGCGGAGATAGCACAAGTGGCAGAGCACAGGTCTAGCATGTCCAAGGTCCTGAGTTCTACCCCTGGTTGCATATCCCCAGCTCTAGCACCACACAACCCTGGAACCTCGACATCCAACCAGTGGACCCAACCAAAAATAATAAATGTAAAGGGCCTTTTTCACCATTGTCGTGAGGTTTGGATGCCACACAAACTCCTTTCCAAGGGGGTCCATAATGGGGACGCTGACAAGCCGAGTAAATGTCAGCCCCTTGGCAAATGCTTGTCGTTTTGGAAGATCTTCGGGTCCAGACATTTATTTTGGAAACCACCTGTCTGTTGATGGGGAAAGGAAAGAGGACTGGCTGTCACTCTGCTGGGGAGACCTCATAGGTGAGGTGCAGCCACAGCTCCATCAGGTCTCAGGTGGCCCACTGGCCACACCAGCCTGGGGGCTGGAGAAGTTCCTCCTCTCAAATGGTCAGCACCAGAAACAGGAAGTTGCTTTCTTCCCTCTTCATTCTGAGCCAGCATTTGCTCTCATTTTTAAAAACATTCCCTATCTGCAGCCCAGACCTTACCCCTGCCCTCGGCAGCCCCAGGCTCCAACACACCCAACCATCATCTATCAGGGTCCTACCAGCAGGCTCTGGTAGGGTCCTACCTCAGGCTGGCTGGTCTGCAGGGATGAGGACACGGGAGAGGACTCCACACGCAGAGGCTCCTGGGCACATCTTGTAAAAACGAAGTGAAAAGCAGTTCTGAGGCTGGAACCCATGCAGCCCCCCTGGACTACCACTGGCTGGGCTAAGCATACAGGGTCATCCACTCTAAATGGAGTCCTGAAGAGAACATCAGTCTCCCGAACACAGAAACCTTAACAGCAGTGGCTGTTGAAACTGAACTTCCCCCCATTCCCAGTCCCTTCCCTGCACATGGCCTAAGGCAATCTAGCCCCGGGAATGTTCAGTGAGAAAACAAGCAAGTCCACGAAACCTTTTTTGGGACTTCTCCAAAGACCCCTTTACGGGAGTGGCCTTGCAGAAAACTGTATGGGGGAGACTGAATTAACCCTTTTCCACAGCCCCAGACCCGGGAAAGAGGCCCACAAATTGATGCCTCAGGAATGAGTGAGGAGAATACTCAGGTCATATTTTCTGTTCATTTCTTTCTTTGTGGGGGGTAAGCCCAGTAGTGCTCAGAGATAAATTCAAACAGTATAAAGTCAACTAATTATTGCCTGCTCAGGGATCCGGCTTGGGGGCGGGGAAATGAGACATTGGTGGAGGGAAGAGCACATGGGTGGTGGGACAGGTGTTTGCATGTTGAATACCTGAAAAAACTGTATTGTGAAGAACTCTCTAAATCACAGTGTTTAAAGTAAGAAAGGAGACAGACAGACAGACAGACAGACAGACAGACAGACAGACAGGACAGCGTTTCCACAAGTGACCAAGTATGAACAGTTCAGTTCAGACTAAGCTCGTGCCGGGTCTGCAGTGACAAGGGTTTTTGGGGAAAGGTTCTGTAAGACGCCCTTCAGTCATCTCTAGAAATCCACTCCTCCCGGGACACTTGTTCCACTTCAGTGTCATTTAATGTTAGATGGCAGAGGCACCTGATGGAGCAAAAGAACCACCCATGGCCCTGGTGGAGGATGAAAAGGGTGGGAACAGCAGGACCCCTGAGCAGGGACACCCAAGCTCTGATAGAGATGAAAGATGCGCAGATACGGACAGAAGCAGAGTGACTTTAGTGGAAACACTGAGACAGGGCAGTTGTGGATAAATTTTTGAAAGTTAGAAAAACTACAGATTCCATGAAAAATTTAAAAGAAGCATATGGAACTGTTTAAATATAATCTAAAATAAATTTCTACCCCAAGAGAATGCACAGTAGACTCCAACTCCAAAATGCAAAAATCAGAGAACCAGAGTGATAATACAATTCGTAGGGTGCTTTTCTTGCCCTCAACAACAACGGTCATCCTCAATGTCCCCTGTGGTCCCCCTGACCACTACCAGGATTAATTTAGTTTTCTTAATTTAATTTTATTTTTATAAATTTTTCACAATATTTGATTACATTCAATATTCGAACACCAATCCCACCACCATTTCACCTTCCCATTACCATATTTTCCATTCAAAATCCCAAACCCTGCCCTCAAAGCAAAACCAAAATAATTGATTTTGTATTGCTTGTTATGAATAGTCTATTAAAAATGAAATAAAAAGATTTTTTAGAAGAAAATGTGTGAAGATAGTTATATTTCACCCAGCCATTAAACCCTTCTATAATAGATTAATAACAAGTTGTTAAAGGTTAAGCCTTGTATGATTATATATACATCTGTATAAATATATTTCCCACTGAGATGGTTGCCTTCTACTTATACCCCATCAAATGTGATGTGCTATTCTTGGTACATTGTGCTGTAAAGTGTGTGATGTCCAAGAATAGACACACTCCTAACTGAGATCCTTCCAAGTGTGTAAAGAGTGGCTGTGAGCAGGGCAGCAGTTGAGTTCTGGAGGTTTTGGGCTATTGTGGCTGGCTTGGTTGGGGTAGGACGGGCCTCACCTGAACCCCCTGGATTGCCCCAAATGAAACAACCATTGCCAGGAGTAATTCTTGAGTGCAAAGCATCACAGAGTGTGACACAAAACAAAAAAACAAAAATAAAACACAAAGAGAATCACAAATCACAAATCACAAATCATCCTGTTATTCGTCGATTGCCTCGAGCAGGCCCCAGTAATGTCTCTTTCATCCTAGCCCTGAGATTATATTCAAGGCTCTTTAGGAGAATGAGACCCATCATTACTGGTATTTGGCATATTGGGTAAGTCACGGGGAGTTTGCCAGACTCTGCCGTGTGGGCAGGCTACATTCGGTAGCCTGCCAGTTTGTCCAAAGTAGGAATGAGATAATAAGATGTCATAATAAGATGTCATAATAAGAACCCGCATTCTCGGCCGCGCGGTTCCGGGAGCTGGTTTTTATAGTCTCTGAGTCTTGGCCTTTGATGGGATTACATGGCGCCAGGGGGCCAGTTGGTGGGTGTGACCCCTGCCTACTGGAGATTGGAGGATCTGGGTGGAGGATGACCGGCCCCAATCCGAGTAGGCTTGGAAATCTTGGCCCCGGAACCTGCGTGACTTTGTCCCTCTGCCAGTACCTTCATGTGTGCAGAGAGTGGTCTCAGCATGGTGGTGGCTGGTCCTGGAGATCTTTGGCTGCCAGATCCCAGGTCGGGGCGGGGAGGAAAGATCAACCCACTCCCCTCCAAGGGGCTCTGGCGAGGGCAGCCAGGCACGGGGGCAGGAGAATGCATGGGCCTCTTCCGGGAGCTGGTTTTTATAGTCTCTGGGTCTTGGCCGTTGATGGGATTACACGGCGCCAGGGGGCTAGTTGGTGGGTATGACCCCCACCTACTATCAGATATAACTATGTCATAATTTTTATGGAAAGGAATAAGTACTGGGAAGGATGATTTTCATTTGGGTATTATTTGTAGGGACACAGATATGAAACAAATTTGAGTATGATTATGATTATAAATGGTGGTTATGTTAAAAAGCTTTTTGAACCATAAACAATGCAAACTATTTTGATTAGCAACTTGAAATTGAAATAAATTGTGATTATTTTAACTTGCCGAGACAGATTATTGAAATAAGTGAGAAGCCTCCTATGACTTGTTTTAATGTGCTTCATTGCCAAGTGCTCAATCCACCAGACAGCGTGTGTGAGATCAGTGTCCCACTGGGACAAGGAGGTTCAAGGTAAGAATGTTTCCCCTTATAACAAGCTGGGTCCCCTCATGCAAATCCCTCTCAGGCTCTGGGGTCAAATGCTCTCTGGGCTGTGGAGCTCCCAGCTGTCTCCTCACTCAGGGCTGAGTCTCTGGGGAAGGCAGAGCTGTGGTTGAGAAGATGATTCTGCGGGGTCTTCTACTCTGCCTGGTGACAGCCCCCCTGGGTGAGTATCCCAGATGTGACAGGGTTTAGTGGAGGGAGTGACTGCAGAGACTGAAAGTGACTGATTCCCCTTGTTCCCAGGTGCTGTGTCTGCTCTGACCCTGCAGGAGTCGGGCCCAGGACTGGTGGCCCCCTCCCAGACCCTCTCCCTCACCTGCTCTGTCTCTGGGGGCTCTGTCACCAGCAGTTACTGGTGGAGTTGGATCCGCCAGCGCCCTGGGAAAGGGTTGGAATGGATGGGGCGCTGGTATGGTAGTACCGACTACAACCCAGCATTCCAAGGGCGCATCTCTATCACGGCTGACACCTCCAAGAACCAGTTCTCCCTGCAGCTGAGCTCAGTGACCCTCGAAGACACAGCCATGTATTACTGTGCGAGAGACACAGTGAGGGGAAGTCAGGGCGAGGCCAGACACAAACCTCCCTGCTGGGAGAGTGTGGACTGAAGGAGACCACGGCCAGAAGGTGGTGCTATGGCCACTATCTAGAGGAAACATCTCAGAGGAGAAAGAGCTGATGGGTGACTGGTTTCCTGCCTCTCATCTAAGGTCTATCCAGGAAACATTTCTAGCATTCTGACTCTGCATCTTCCACTGTTGTCCCAAATTTGATACGGCACGTTTACTTCACAGGACTATATCAAAGAAATTCGGTACCATAGGAATCACAAGAGAAACATGCCTGCTATTAACTAATTTTTATTTCTTTGCTTTTGTTTTACAGAACAGGTTCTCTCTGTATCACGAGTACATAGAGGTTTATCCCTCCAATGAGTCAAAAAACAGTCTCCTGGAATCCTCAGGACTACAGGTGGATTAAGACGTGACGTCCTCAGGTTGCTGAGGGCACTTATTCTTCATGCTAAAAAATGAGGTTTATGATGGTCAGGTTACCGGTGCTGGGCCACCCCAAGTGGGAATAGGTTTCATCCTTTGCCTATTCCCCTTGCCGGCCTGGTGACCGCCATCCTCCAGAGACCACTGGACAGTCAGGTTTGGGCCCGCAGTGACGAAGATGCAGGGCCTCACAAGTTGGATCTGGAGTCGACCCTTTCCTCCCCATCCCAACGAGACTGGAGTTGCCAACTACAAACGGGCCTCTGTGGCTCCTTATCAAGCTGCTTAATGGCCATGATCCCAGAGACTCAGGAACAAATCTTGGAACCCAGCAGGTTTTGGCAGAAATCCCTCCAGATTTAATTGTTAAAATTTCAGAATTTCAAAATCGCGCTACCACTACTGCAGCTGTGCAACATCATATGTTATTCATAACCAGCAATAGAATACAAATTGTCTACTGTTGCCTTTTCAGCAGATCTTAGTGTTGGGGTAAAATCCCAAATAATAATGGTGTCAAAATATTGAATGTAATCAAAGTAGAGAGAGAGTAACGTGGAAATCATCTGCCCCACAGGTAGGGGGAGGGTGTGGGATGGGGGTATACTGGGGTTTTGGGGGGTGGAGAATGGGCACTGGTGAAGGAATGGGTGTTTCATTGTATGACCGAGATTAAACCTGAAACCTTTATAACTGCTCTCACGGTGATTCAATAAATAAAGTTATCACGATCACGACCATCCTGTTGTTCGTTGATTGCCTCGAGCAGGCCCCAGTAACATCTCCTTCGTCCTAGCCCTGAGATTTTTTTAAAAAGTGCCATATTCCAAAAAAGCACATGAGAAAATGCTCTACATCATTAATCATCAGGGAGATGCAGATCAAAACCACAATGAGATACCATCTCACACCTCAGAGACTGGCCCACATTCAAAAGAACAAAAGCAACCGATGCTGGAATGGATGTGGCGAGAAAGGGACACTCCTTCACTGTTGGTGGGAATGTCGACTGGTTCAGCCCTTCTGGAAAACAGTATGGACGATTCTCAAAAAATTAGAAATTGAGCTCCCATTTGACCCAGCAATACCACTCCTGGGAATATATCCCAGAGAGGCAAAAATGTATAGTCGAAGTGACATCTGCACTTGTTTGTTCATTGCAGCACTCTTTACAATAGCCAGAAACTGGAAGAAACCTGAATGCCCAAGAACAGATGACTGGTTAAAGAAACTTTGGTACATCTACACAATGGAGTACTATGTAGCTGTTCGAAAAGATGAAGTCATGAAATTTACATACAAGTGGTACAATATGGAAAGTATCATGCTAAGCGAAATGAATCAGAAAGAGAGGGATAGACATAGAAAGATTGCATTCATCTGGGGGATATAAAGTAACAAAGTATGAGATTAATACCCAAGAATAGCTGAGATCATCACCAGGAGGATTACTCCATAACTTAGAGGCCAGCCGGGTATCCTAGAGGAAAGGGCAGTTCAGATAGAGAAGGGAGCACCAAATAAAGGATGTTTGGAGGATCCTCCCAGGAGGGGAGATGCATGTCGAAAGTAGACTATGGACTGAACATGTTTGCCACTCAATGCCTCTTTTGTAGACCACAACACCCAAAAGGAGAGAGAGAACACAGGGGATTGCCCTGCCACAAAGACAGGGGGGATGGGGGGATGGCGGTGTGAGGGATATTATCCATGGTGGTGGAAAATGGGCACTGGTGGAGGGAAGGGTATCTGATCATTGTATAATTGAAACCAAAGCACAAAAAATTGTAAATCTACAACTTTAAAAAAAATAAAATAAAATAAAGGGAAAAAAATTATTTTCTGATAAAAAAAGTGCCATATTCAAGGCTCTTTCTTAAAGTTATAAGAAATGAAAAAAAAAAGTAAGGTTGAGTTTATGCCCAATTCAATCAGCCTCATCAGTGGCTGAATAAATAGCTGTACTCCTACATTAAAAAAATAGTTGACTCTAATTTCTTGTGATTCATGTTTGCGTACTTTTATATTTTTTAAGTATAACCTACTAGTGCCTACCTTTTATTGTATTGCTAGAGACTTTCAACATAAAAATGAGAATTCTTTTCTTCACTCTCCTCAGTGATACTGTTCTTTTCTCTACATGTTCAATACATTTGACTTTTTAAACTTCATAGATAGTTTTGGTTAGATGGTTATGGTATATGTTGTACAGAGTAACTGTACCCACCACAACAAAAGTTCCCACAATCCTCTACAATTGTCCCTGTCTATCCTGGTAAATGTCCCCCCCTGTACTTCTCCCCAGGATTTGGTAATCAGTTTATAATCCAAAATCAAGTAAATCAGAGGGAGAAGGACAAACTCTGGATAAGCTCACTCATCTGCAGAACACAGTAAGAGGACCCATGGTGGTGGAAAATGGGCACTGGTGGAGGGATGGGTATTTGATCATTGTATAATTGAAACCCAAGCACAAAAATTTGTAAGTCTACAACTGTACCTCATGGTGTTTCACTAATAAAAATGAAAAAAATTTAAAAAAGGGTAAAGACGGTAGCGAACAATAACAAACCTTTCCCTCAGAGCATACAATTGACTTTGAAGAAAAGCAAACAGGAAAATAAGATACTTTCAGAGATATGCTTTCCACCAAAACCAAAAAAATTCCAATGACCTATCTACCTAATTGGGAGAGAAGGTGAAGGAAAAACTTTGAAATGCAAAATACAAATTAAGATTAAAGACGACCTTGACACCTATGTAAAGTGAAAGACACAAGCCAAAAATAAGTCTTCTTCTGAGAGAAGTAGCTGTTATGCAAAAGCACAAGTATGGAAGTAACGAGGAAGTATGGGACTGTATAAAAGGGGTATGGAGAGGAGATAAACTCACAATAGAAGAAAATACTAGAAGTTATGAATTAATGTTGAAGAATGGTGTATGCTAAGCTAAGAAGCTTTGTGTGATACTACAAGGATCAGGCAGTCACAGAGGTATTTGGGTATGTGAGTGAAATAAAATATAACTGGCAATAAAAATTAAGATACAGCAGTTATGGTCAAAGAAAGAGAAAATTATAGAACACTATTTATTTCCTATTGCTATGTAAAATACAACTACCCATTTATTGATTTAAGTGACTTAAGATAGCACACATTTTTCATCTTACCATTTCTGTAGATTCAGAGTCCAAATTTCCTGACCACTGTTCCAAAATAGTCTTTTACAAGTCTAAAACCAAGATACTACCTATCCTGGGAGTTCATCTGAAGACTGAACTGTAGTAGGTTCAGTTCCAGGTGCTACAATTATTGACAGTTCAGTTTCTGAAGCACTGTTGGAACAAAGATCAAGTGCTTCGCTAATTTGTTAACCAGAGACAACCTTCAGCTCATTGCCACTGAGATTCTCCACAAAAGAACTCACACTGTAACAGCTTGTTTTATCTTCAAGAGGAAGCATCAGATATCAAGATGTCACAATCTCCGGGCAAACCCATCATCTTGACCTTATTCTCATAAGATCAGAGCACAAACCACACCTCTACTCAAGTGGAGGGTGGAAAGGACTTCACAAGGACACAGTTGATGGAGGGTAATATTTTGTTTGTTGGTTGGTATTATTTGGGGGCCATCCCCAGTGGTACTTGGGGCTTACTCCTGACTCTGTACTTTGGCATGACTCTTCCTGGGGCTCAAGGGACCAGTTCCCAGCTCAGGGGATGGAATCTGGGTCAGGCAAGTGCCTGATCTTAGTAGCAAAATAAAAAAATATATATTAGTAGATCTAATTAGCTGAAGACCTCCAGAACCAGCCACCACCATGCTGAGACCACTCTCCACATGCATGAAGATACCGGCGGAGGAACAAAGGCATGTGGGTCCCGGGGCTGAGATCTCCAAGCCTGCTCGGATCGGAGCTGAGCATCCTCCACCCAGATCCTTCATATTCCAGTAGGCAGGGTCACACCCACCAACTGGCCCCCTTGCGCCGTGTAATCTCATCAACGGCCAAGACCCAGAGACTATAAATCCCAGCTCCCAGAAGCGCGTAGCGGTGACATCTTATTATCTCATTCTTACTTTGGAGAAATTGGTAAGCTACTGAATGTAACCTGCCCACACGGCAGAGTCTGGCAAACTCCCTGTGGCGTACCCAATATGCCAAATACCAGTAACAATGATGGGTCTCATTCTCCTAACCCTGATAGAGCCTTGAATATGGCACTTTAAAAAAAAATCTCAGGGCTAGGACGAACTAGACGTTACTGGGGCCTGCTCGAGGCAATCAACGAACAACAGTAGATCTATTTATTAAATATTAAAGTTTTTACTTGTTTTTGTTTTTTATGCCACACTCTGAAATGCTCAGGAGTTACTCCTGGCTCTGTACTCAGGAGTTATTAATGGCAGTGTTCAGGGGACCTTATGGAATTCCAAGGATTGAACTGGGTCAGTCATATGCATGACAAGTACCTTATCCGCATACATCTCTCTATACCTGGATCCTACCTGAAGACACTCTTAAATCACATTTTTAGAAGAGCCAAGCCTAAATACATTAACAAAATCTTTCTTATCTGACTAACCTACTCTACCCTATGATATAGT